TTTTGTCAGAAAGTTACATCTAGCCATAATCTGAAGCCAAGCATCCACACATATGAATTTCAATGACGTGTTACAAACTGTCTACAAACAAAATACAGGGAATTTCCACTTCATGCAATAGCATGTGTTCCTTCAGTGGAAAGTGGTACAATCTGATAGTCTGATAGAGTTGCTTTGCTTTTAGCACAAACTCTCTTCCTTTACTCTACCATTATTGTATAATATGACCAATGTAGTTTACAGAACTACAGTTTAAAAAACCCCAATCACACATCAGCTCATCTTCCATGTTCACAGCAAAAAACCACATTATGGGCACTGAAGTTCATTGATCAACTACAGCTCTGACAAAGTAAACACAAGTTGCTTTTGCACACTGACTTCCATGTTATTAAACTGGCCTATTCAGAGGTCTGACACAAACCATATAGTACCTGATAGGAGACAACATGATACTCTCAAATGAATGATGCAGAAAACAGACCTAACCAAGGGGACAGATACAGGAGAACATAATAGACAGCAATATGAGAAGGGACTGGCTCATCAACATGAAGGAAAATTTCCTAGTTTGTCATTTTCTACCAAAAAACCAGTTCATTGCCATTGACAGGAACTAGTTGAGGAAGAAGCTGTAGGCTACTATGTTTTCAAATTCCTTTTTTTCCCTTGGCAGATCTGAGGGGTTTTTTTCAAACTAAAATACTGCCAAATAACTGTTACTGCTAATAAATTTATTGTTGGCTGTGGCATTGTTTATTTTTTCTTATAATAGGTGCTGTACTGGTTCAAGAACTACAGGGTAAAGTCAAAATCCTTTGTAAGTCAAATTTACATTCATGCGCATATACTGTGTTAGCAACAGTTTACAAGTCTGACTATGATAATAAAGTAATTAAAACATAAAAAGAAATGAAAGTTGATGTACAAATCTATCATATGTTGACAACCTACATGAACTGTTAAACTAATGAATTATGCAAATCTATGTTTCCCCAAAGTTTTAAAACATTAATTAGAATTTTTAGTGTTCCTCTGTAAATGCAAGATGTTCCATAACTGAACCAATGAAAACTTGCTTTCTTTTTCATTTTGCCCTTTCCTTTAAAACTGTTGCCCATATTCTGCTTCTTGCCCCTTTTCAGATATCTGTCTGCTGACAGACTGACTTCAGAGCAAACTATGTCAACAAGAAACACCCAATCTTTAATATAAAACCTGCAAACCCATCCTCCCCACCTTCCATTTCAAACAACCTTCTCACAAACCCCAAAACCTTCCCAGAAAAAAAAGCCACTTTCAACAAGGCTCATTTTCCCAGGAACCAGAATCACAAAACTAGAGCTGCACACAAAGCCACTGCAGATAATGACACAGAGGTGTGCTGGTACCTCAAATATCAAGGCTGATTTTCTGTGGTAGCTTACACTGAAACTGATAGGTCTTTAACTTTGAGTTTGAAATACAGGGCTTATATGAATCAGGTACTGGATCTGCAGCCCCAAATCCATCACAAAATCAGAAACACTTTGCACACTTTAGTATGCAAAATTATGCACATCATTAAAATGTACTCTTACTGTATCCATAGCTCTCTAAGGCAAGCTAAGTAGAAGCCTATTATTTTCCTCTGTTTTATAGTGCTTGTTAAGTGACAATGGATTTATTTTACATTTATTAGAGCACCTATGAACTTCAGATTCAGCCCCCTTTCATCTCACCAGTCCACCAACATTCTGCCATTTGCATTTACAATATAAATCAAAGCTGTTATTTTTGCTGAAATGGAGTTCCACTAAATCAGACATTTTTCTCCTACCTGTTGGTTCACCATTTTAAATACAAACACTCTCTATAAATTACATGAATAAAGAAATCTTGCAACTGTGTACCTATATCTAAATCTACATTTTTTTTGTCACATGTAACTTCTAATATTAATGTAGTTTTTTAATATTAAATCTGTCCATAACCAAATATTGCACTTTCATGTTTCATAACATTTCCTTACCTCCCTCATAATACCAAGTTTTTATTCTGCATTATATTGATTTTTAAAGATGTGCAGCTTTTCTTTTACTTTTTTAACATCCAAATGTCATAATTTATGCGGAATATTATGCATGAACTATCTAAAGATTTAGGTTTTGATCATAAAAGCAAAAGGAGTGCATATGAATAAAATGAAGGCACACAAGTTATTCTGCAGATGAACCAGCAAACTCCTGGTATTAAGCGGTTCACTAAAACATTTTCATCATTTCTTATTAAAAGTTTTATTCTGTGCATTTCAGTATTTATACTGGCATTAGTTTAAAAAAAGGAAAAATGCTGGAGCCTTTTTTTAAAAAAATCTTTTACACAGCTTTCATATTTCTTCTTTTCCTCATTTACTGCTTCTAATAGGAACTGACTTTTCATAACTTCCCAGATGTTTGTAAAAAGGAACAGCAAGATTAATAGAAAACTTTAAAGAAAAGTGTTTGCATTTAATCACTATTTTTAAAATACCATACACATGATGTTTAGATTGCTAACAGAAAACTCTCCCCTTATAATATGAAGTCATGGAACAAGAATAGCATACACATTAATAACATTTTTACTCACTTTAACAACATACAACTGATTTCACTAAATAACAGCCATTTGTCAGCTATATGGCATCTGCAGCTTCATGAAGAAATTATACAATAAGGAAAAGGGATATGAATTTATCACTAATCACTATACTGCCTCAACACAGCAGTAAACTTGACTTGCAATGATTCCATGAGTTCTGACAACTGAACATACAAACTTAATTTTTTGCCTAATCTAGCCTCAATATCTTATGCTGCTTTACTCCTATCAGTCTTAGAAAGGTAACTAAACAGTAAAAGAATCTGCCACTTCCTAAAAACAGGTTATTTTATGAACTGGGAGGGGACAGAGCTAGATATCAGTCAACATTTTCTTAATATAAAGTAATCCAACTCTATTGTGTGTGACCACCTTATAGAAGAGAAAAAAGAGCAAAAGAAAACACAATATAGTCTCAGTTAAGTAAAATTTAGAGGATCACAAATACAAGAATTAAACCCACTTCAGGTGTACCAAAATTATTCATCTGACCTGACCTCAAAGTCAATGTTACTGAATTCAGAGCAGAGACTGCAGCAGATTTTTCTTGTGTTATCTCTCTTCTTAAAACATACAGTACCCAGTATGTTAAAAACTGGCAACCATTCACATTTCTGAACTTTACTTTAATAACACCAATAAACAGAAGTAAATTATTTTAACAGTACCACACTTCTAGGTCCAGCTTCATGTAAGTCTGCTTTGTAGATTTCTTTCAGGTTTTCAAATTGATATTAAACACTTTTGTTAAGCATTTCTATGCTATATGAACTACTTCTTCCAGCTGAAAACTGTTCCACTGAAAAGTCAGATAGCTTTATATAACTGGAAATGAAGACTATGGAGATTTTTATAGTGTTACAGCAATAATATTTCTTTCAGCAATCAGCAGAAACTAAGAGCATGCAAGTAAGAGCAAGAGTCTGTTTACTGGCATTAATTATTTTTCTAATAATCTGGAAGTAGATAAGCTTTACAAAACACTAGCATATTTTAAAATGCATCAACTGTAGCAATTATGTTCTTCATTAAAAAATGCTACAGTATCACCATATTGAGCAAGCACAGCCTCAATAGCTGCTATTTCAGCCAAAAAGAAAAAAAAAATGGGGAGAAAAAGAAAAACAGCTTTTTTACTTGTCAGATACCTCATAAAACCAACTTAGACTTCCCTTTGAGTTGTTAACTGCTAGGAAATTGTTAGCCTGCAGAAACAGCCTGTGTGTGCTGTTTTACAGGTCTGATTTCCAAAACTTTCATCTGTGGTCTAGATTTCATAAACATAGAATACTCAGAACTGTACTCACTTTACAATTTCACTTAAATTGCATTACAGATCGAGAGGCAGTTCATCAAAGGACATATTGCAAGTAAACCAGCAGATATGAGAGGGCAAGATAGATGTGTGCAGCATTTATCTTTCTAAACCCTGAAATATCAAGTTAAAAAAATCTTACAAAAATGGTTCTGCTACTGCAGCGCTCTACTAATATTTCTCTCACTCACCTGGGGGCTTCTTAAAACAGTAGGTCAAAAAACTGCTTCTCTAAGTTCCTAGCTGAGACAAAGGTTTTAAGTAAAACATTAGCTAAGGTTGCAATTCTCTCTTTTGCTATCAGCCTACTCATAACAAAGCCAACATACACACCAGCAACCGATGTTTCAACAGAAACAGAAAACCTAGCCTGCAAAACACCAAAGTCAAAGGTCTTCATGCTTAAACTTCTAAGGGATGAACTGAAATTAGAAAGCTCTATTTCCTAGTTCTATATGCTTATCATGGAGGAATTTTACCTAAAGAACTGTTAAAATTAATTTTAAGAACTTGAGGCATTAATTTTTTCCGCTGCATTCAAGAAGTGATGGTAGCGTAAGACATTAAGTGATTGACATTTTCTTAATTTTACTATATATAAATGATGTAAAATTTGATCAACTATTCCAAAGCATTTTTTGACATTTCATTCAAAAAAGCCTCGTTTCTCTGTATGGCTATTTTGTACTAGTACGTTAATCTGCCTAGCTCAATAAAATTCCAGAATCAAAAGCCAATGAGTTGCTTCCAAAATGGTCAAAGGTGATGTATTTTCAGAGTAGAAGAGAAGTGTAGGGAAATGATGAAATACTAAAATTTGCAGTATTTCAGTAATAACATTCAAAATACAACATTAATAAAGCCTAATTAACAGTTGACAGTCTCTCCTCCCTTTGACACGAATTTCAGTACTCGTGCCACGTAGAACAAAAGCATCTTATAAATGCTTATTCCTGCTAACAATCAAAGGGTACTTCAAGGCTGTCTTTGTGTCCCTTTAGTTTCTCTCTGGACCACACTGCAGTGTAAATTTCAAGTTGGAACAAAAGCAGCTGGGCCTTACCTCTGTCACTGAAGTCATCCACCAGGATGATCTCTGCGATCAGGCTGTCTGGGGTGCGGTTGATGATGCTGTGGATGGTGCGCAAGAGCGAGGTCCAGCCCTCGTTATGAAACGGGATGATGATGCTCGTGTTGGGTAGTGCCTCCAAGTACACCTTGTGCTTACAGCTGCAGAGGCAAGGAAATAATTGTGTAAGTATACTGAAAATCCAAGTTGGCATGTCTTGTCATCCATTTGGGCCATCCAACCAACAGGGTTTCTGGCATAAAATCCAACAATGCAATCAAGCAGTAATTTCATGTGAAAATAGCTGGATTGTTTAAAACATATGCTTACAACACAAAAGAAATTGGAACAATGACAGAATTTAAGTGGAATGAGTGAAAAAAAATCTAACTGTCTGGAATTATTTTCTTTCACTGAAAACTTTTTCCTGTAGTATGAGAGATGACATATTTTCTATGACATCATTTACAAAAACCAAATCCTCTTATCAAAAAGAATTCCAGAGCATAATATGAAGCTAATCTGAAGTGATCATTTGGTCAACAAAGAGATAAACTCTAGAAAACAATTCAGTATTATCCTGGGTGATACTAGCTTACAATACAACAAACAACATCCACACATACAACTCCAACTTTGCATCTACAGATCCAAAATGACTGTTCCTATTAAGTATAGACATAAAGCAACACAATTCTGGAAGTGAAGACTTATAAACAAGGAAATGTAAACAAGCTTTCATCTTTGAAAGGAAAGCACCGTACACTCCACATCTTAATTGCACAGCGGTTATGGAATATCCATGCTTAACCTGACTGTTTTCAATATTGAGTTTCTAACACATTTCGAAAAGAAAAAACATAACATTCAAAAATAAATAATGGCCATGCAAATCAGTGTCTCCTAATATCCAAAAATATTTTATGACAAATATTTAGATTACTGCAACTGATAGGATTGCATCTTTCATGTTTTGTTGAAAAAAAGAAAAAAAGGAACACATTCCTCTGTTGTTAACAAAGCCTGTCACTTTCACCTCTGGGGACAAAGCAAGTGAACGATTTCTCATTCCTCAAAAGAAAGTCACATCCTGATAAAGGTATCCCTAGAGCAGAAACCTGTCAGCTTTGTAATAAACAAACAAAATTAAAAGTTTAGCCCTGCAAATTCTAGGGTTAAAAAAAAAAGTATAGATATCATTGCTCCTTGTTAGAAAGTGTAACTATGCATATCAAAAACTGCTACAGAATAGTTTTGATTTACATATATTTGCAGCTTAGTTTGCATTTCCTCTTTATAAGTGTCACTTAGAAATCAGTATTTACCAATACACTATACAGCTACCACACTGATGAAATGTTCCAAAGAAATAATAAAAACTCATAGCTAATATAGCTGTATTTGCAAAATATTAACTGTTACGTAGCTATAAATAAACTAACTAGGTTTTAGATACTTTACTAAAAAAAAATATTTAAATTTGTAGTTCAGACTTTTCTTACTAAAACCCAGTGCAAATTAATTTAATGACAAGCCATTTTCTGAAATAACCACTGTGGAAACATTTTAGTAAGCAGCTTGCTGGTAAAACAGACATGCACATTGGAAAATGAACAGATGCTTTGCAATAATGTGAAGTTCTGGAGAAAGCAGTGCTCATTATCTAGTGACAGAAAAGTCTAAGTATGTATATTTAAATGTTTTCTGAAAAAAAGAAAATCCACTGCAGCAAAAGAATTTAGTAGAATTTTTTTATTCTTATCTGTAGGAAGAAGTAGAACAAATGAAGTCCATTATTAATACGTAGTTGTTTCAGATAGCAAAATGAGAAAGCCACCTACCAAAACCAACACCTATTGTTGCCAGCTGTCTGTCAACAGTGATGCTTCTTGGACTAGAACAAATGCAACTAACAGACATACATGGAACTCTCCCACTATTTTTAAAAGCAAAAGTTTTTCCTTCAGCATTTTTGACTCCTAGTAAATATGATTTCAAACTAGTAAGTTTTCATCTCCATAAAACCCCAAGCCAAGCCAAAAAAAAAACAAACCAAGCAAAAGAACTTCACATATGTAAGACTAACAACTTCTAAAGAGTAAGAGGAAAAAAAAATACCCAAAACACCCAAACACATCAGAATGCCATTTATTTTTTAAAAAGTCAGCCCTCCAGTACAAGATAACTTTTGAAAGCAGTTGTACTGAAATTTGCATGGTTAATATTGTAACCTTATGCATGTAAGGATTGGGTAGGTCATTAAATTTGGATATTCACATTGACAGTGTCAGAGTAATTGCATTATGTTAAAGTGCTGAGAAGGAGAAGCAACACTGATGGATTTAGTCTACAAATATTCTATTCTTCCTGCTGAACAGATTGATCTAAAACAGAGCCACACTTAAAAGAGGAAAGCATCTAACACTTTCTTAAGATTTCTCCATCATTCAACTTTGACCTTTAATCCTCATTTACATTTACTTTTGATTGCCATTGTAAAGGTATATGTGAATTGATTTCTAGCAAAAGCCACAAACCACCAAAACATTCTTTTGTGCTTTTTTAAAAAAAACTGGCCAGATTTCAAATTCATAGAAATGAAACCTTAAACTTAATCATTTTTGCTAGGTTTCATAGCAGTGCTTTACTTGCCTTTCTTCATCAAGTGGAATTCTGCTCATTTTTAGCCCCTTGCTCTCTTGTCATGGGACTCTAACAGCAACAGATGATCACTGTCTTAAAAAGCCTTACATGAAATCCATTTTATTTGAAGTTCTATTCAACGTGGTCCATAGCAGAGGGTAGCTAGCTCTGTGCTCTGATGGGCTGCAGGACAGAGCTGATGAACAGCTGTCATGTTCAGAAAAGTCCCAGGAACTGCAACAGAGATGCAGTTAGACCTCCACAGCTGAGACACTGGATGTACCATGAGAATAAAGCTATGTCTTTTCATGAGGATAAACATATATAATGCATGCACCATTTGTTCCAAGTCCACAAGTATGCTTCTTCATATCCTGAGTTTTAGAAGTGATGCCAAACACCCTGGCTACAAAAAAGACTACTTAGAAGCTACAGACATTGCTTCTTGTTTTAAAAGGGAAATTCTTGAGTCTCCAAAGAAATGAGACATTGTAATTCAAGATTCTTACATATTTCCTGAAGAATACACTATTATCAAAATTCACTAAAATAAAAAATAAAGCAAGGTTTGCTGTAGACAGGAAAAAGGCTATGTATAAAAGATTACCATAACCTCATATACATTAGGTAAAACTGTCTAAATTATGGTAAAATGAAACTGAACTGACTACCTACGGAAATATTTAAACTACTACTGAGTAAAATAATATTCTTCCCAGAGCCTAAAAATTTCGGTGGAAAACTCAATCAAACTTGTATCAGTTCAGCAAATTATAGTATTTATAGCACACATGAACTCCAATTGTCATCCTCCACATAAAGAAATTGCAAATAACTTGCACACTAGGTGAATGCAGGCTTTATGTGGACAGTAAGTATCATTCAGGTAGTTTGAACGGCAGAATGAAGTGTCCAAAGAGCACAATGACTTTCACTGAGGCTTGAAATACTAGAAAATCTATAAAGGCCTGGAAATAAATCCTAAAATCAATACTCAAAAAAGGTTAGTAGATTTAAGATGGACAGATAGGCAGTTCAGCCAGCTTCAGTGAAGTAAGGGTTTGCTCCAAGATGTAACTCAGTGTAGAAAAGTTTGCAATGTACCTGATGTCAATCAACATCATTAAGCTCTCCTCTTAATTATGAAATCATAGCTCAACTGATAAAGGCAAATATATACTGTACAGCTTTAGTATCACATCATATTTTGATTAAGGAATTTAAAAAGAAAAAAGAATCAGAGGGGAATTGAAAAATGGATACAAATACTAGGTCTTTCAAAATAATTTTAATAGGAACTTATTATTTGCTATTTTTAGCTTGTTTCTATCAGGGCTAGTTTTTTGCCTTAGTGACACTTTAAACTGGATTAACTTTTAAAATAACATATGAGGACTCTGCATTAACAAGACTGATTTAAATAGCAAATGATGTTGAAGAGAGGTTATTTGACTCTGTTAACTCAATCTACATATATATTATAAAATAGCTTGTTTGAATGAGCTATATATTCGTATAAACACACAAAGTTTCAAAAGAAAATCTTGTCATGATATTTTATAATTTTGGGATTGAGGGCAGAAAACTAAATCAGTCTACCTGAAATTAGGATAACGAACTGATTTTTCACTATGTCTTTGATCACTATAATTTCCATGAAAGTGTTTTCTCTAATCAGCCCTGGCTACATATGTATGCTCATCATTCCCATACTGATAAGAGGATAAATACTTAAGGATTCTAAGAACACATTATTTGACTAGTCTTTCACTGTTTTCATTACATTTTTCCTCACTTTTAATCCTGACTTCCATACTTGTGTTTCTTCAGCTAACCAAATAGCTCAGTCCAGCAATATTTTTAATGTTTACTGCTTGAGGTGCCACTCATTCACGTTGCTCAGAAACCTCACACTGTTTTCCTCAGCTAACCTTGTTCAGCTACAGGAATAACGCAGCCTCCTCTTTAGAGGCTGGTAAGTGATCATTTACAGAACTGGAGGCCTAAGTGCTCAAGGTTTGATGCTGTCTTCCATAAATTATTCCAAGAAATCCTGATCAGTCAGCTTAGCTCACACCTATGCTTGTACCTCTAGGCATGTGCGATGCTACACCATCAGCACCCAATGCAGTGTACCAGTAAACATCTGCACATCCTGTGGCTCATCCTAACTGAATAGACCCAGGCCTCCAGTCTTCTCCAGAGGGTGAATTTGGGATTGTTCCTAGCTCTACAGACTGCCAGACAGGCTGGTGAATTTAAACAGCTTGCCCATTTCACAGCCAAGACTGGAATCCAGCAACGTATGGGCATGTTATCTCTCTTGCCCTTTCACCACACAGTCTCATCAGATGCAAGCTCTTCTCTCAAGAGCTGTAAAAGGCAGTGGCCTTCAGAGCTTAGTACCTGTAATACTGACCTTATGGAATCCCTTACCAATACTTTCATTATTGAAGACTGGGAATCCATTTTATTGCTGAGCTCCCCAGTAACACATTTGACCACACAAAACAAGGGA